CAAAACCAAAAAAATGAGTAAAGGAAACATTTTTTAATTTGTATATAACCCAAAGCTGAAGGAGTATATTACCAGTATATCCATCCTACAAAAAAATGCTAAAACGAAATCTTTCAGGATGAAAGAACACTAGATAGTAACTCAGAGTCATAAGAAAAATAAAACTCTACAGTAAGGTAGGAGTCCTGGTTTGGTGCTGTGGGTTAATGCACTGGATTGCAAGGTTGATTTGAACTGTAAGGTCAGCAGTTCAAGTTCACCAGCTCTCCTCTGAAACCCTATACAGGGTCACTATGAGTCAGAACCGACTCGATGGTACTTAACAGCAGAGTAAGGTAACATCACAGAAAAATATAAAAGCCAGTATTACTGTACTCTTAGTTTGGTTTGTAGCTTCTCTCTTCATATATGATCTGAAAGACATCTACATAAACAATAATTATAAACACACTTATGTTAGCTTACAATGTGTAAAAATATGGGAAAGTATAGAAATGTATAAGAATGTATAAGAGTGCATACTATTGAAATTAAGTTGGTATTATTCAAACTGTTGTTGTTGTTAAGTGCCTTTGAGTTGGTTCCAATTCATAGCAACCCTATATAAGGTTTTCAAGGAGCAGCTGGTAAATTTGAACCACCGACCCTGAGATTCAAATTGGACCTTGAGGTTCAGTGCATTATACCACAGTGCCATATTGTTTTAAATTTAGGATGTTATTTATAATCCTCAAGGTATCCGTTAAGAAAGTAATTGAAATATAATGTTGATGTTGTTGTTAAGTGCCTTCTAGTAGATTCTAACTCACAACTACCCTGTATAGGGTTTCCAAGGAGCATCTGATGAGTTTGAACCACCAACCTTGTGGTTCAAACCGACCTTGCAGTCCAGTGCTTTTTCCTACAGTGCCACACCAGGATAAGCTGTGTATAAAAAAATGTATATATCAAAGGAAAGAAGGGACTCTAAACATAAAAAATGTATTAATGGAAGAGTGGAAGGACAAAAAACAGGCATATAAGCATATAAAGGACAAAAAACAGGCATACTTCCTCATCAGTAATCACATTAAATATAAATAATTAAACTTTTATATTAAAAGGCAAATACTGGTAGACTGGATTTAAAAAAAATAAAAACAGGATCCATGCTGTCTACAAGAGACTCACATCAGATAAAAAAGCACAGAGGTTAAGAGCAAACAGGAAAAAGATATTCCATGCAAACAGTAGCCAAAAAAATAGTTGGAGTGACTTTATAAGAGGCTTCAAAAAGTTCATGGGAAAATAATGAAAAGATAATGAAGGGCTCTTGTATTACTGTCAGACAAAATAAACCTTAAATCATAAAAGTTAAAAGAAACAAAGAAGGAAATTATATATTGGCAAAAGCAAGGAGATACAGCACTTATAAACATTTATGAACCTAACAGAGCCCCAAAATATATGAAGCGCAAACTGACAAAATTAGAGAAAAATACACTCTTATAATAATAGTTGAAGACATCAGAACTCCACTTTTTTTTTTTTAAAGTTTCTATTGTGAATTGAGTGAAAGTTTACAGGGCAAATCATCCATTTACATTCAACAAATCACATAATTTGTTTCATTACAATGATCATAATCCCCTCCATGTACCATCATTTAACAATATTTCTCTCTATTCATTTTAGCTTTAAAAAAAAAAAAACAAAAAACACTCATGCATATATAATAATTTAAACCACCAAAGGGTACATTTTACAAGTCTGCCTTCTGGTTGCCAGCTCTCAGTCCCTCTTTCCATGAATCTAGAGTCCTCAACTGCTTCCTCTCTCCGAATCCCCATCTCTACACCTCCATCTCTGTGTCACTGTTTCTTTGGATTAAGAGAAGGTCCCGCATTCTGCTTGTGCTCTTCTCCCTTGATGGTTCTAGGGTCTTCTGTTTCTGGACTGTAAGATTAACTACTTACCCATTTTTCAGAACTCCACTTTTAATAATGGTTAGAACAACCAGACAGGAGACAATCAGGAAAGAAGACTTAAACACTCTAAAACAGCTAGATCTAATGGGCATATACAGAACACTCCACACAGCAACATCAGATTACACAGTCTTCTAAATGCAAATGGAACATTCTCTAGGACAGATCACAGGCTAGGCCATAAAGTCATAATTTTTTAAAAGCTGAGTACACAAAGTATCTTTTCTGATCACAAAGAAATAAAATTAGAAATTAGCAAAAGAAAACTAAAATGAATAAATATTTAGAAATCAACACTCTTTAAAAAACAAAATACATGAGAGCTCAACTAGAGGAAAATAAAGAAATTTGATAAAGGAACCAAGTGTAAATTGCTACAATTTGATGAACTTGACCTATGCTTATGGATATAGTAGCTCAAAATACCAACCAAGAGGGAAGGAATAGTCACATCAAGGATCAAGCCGATCCCCTCTGTACACAGGGCTGATGGTGGTTAGTGGTTATGTGCTGTGGAGTCAGTTCCAACTCATAGCGACCCTATGCAGGGTTTCCGAGGCTGTAAATCTTTACGGAAGCAGAAAGCCTCATCTTTCTCCCGTGGAACAGCTGGTAGTTTCAAACTGCTGACCTTGTAGTTCACAGCCTGATTCATAACCACTACGCTACACAGGGCTGATGTTGTTGTTGTTG